ACCAGGGATCTTTTGTTCATTAAATATATGATGGGTCTTGTGAACATCAATTCTTCTGGCAGACTTTCTATGATTTTCTGTTGCACTTATAACTTAACCTTACAAATACATAAAATTTATTTTTCAAGTTATTAGCAGAAAACAGGCAGAGTATCCTTTACTAAATATAATTTACCTGGTGGCTATTACAGTTTAATAAAGATATAGTTACATTTACAGTAAATAAATTCAACATAAATTTGATGAATTATATCACAATTTTATAGATAAAAGATATACTGCACAGAAAAGATAATGCTCTTCTTACAGTAGGACCAATGGACATGAAATGTAGTAGTAATCATCCTTTACTGGTTACATGGTTTACAATCCTAAACATTTCGCAACAAAAAGACCATTCGAATAATGTTCAATATAAATGATTTTTCCAAAATAAATTGATCAATTCAATGGTAGAATGATTAATCATGATGGATTTAAGTTACAGAACTTTTTTCTTTGTCTTGGAATGCATGAAAAAAACTTCACTTTCTTTTCAATCAGGAAGCTTGCAATTTACAACACATTGAAAGGCTGTAAACTAATAGATCTTTAATAACAAATATATGCCCCAAAGTTAGTAATCTCATTGAGACATTAATCATGGTTCAACTGAATTAATTCCAAGCTCAATCAAAAAAGTGTATAAAGATGTATTGTCCCAAGAAAAAATACAAAAAATAAATCATAAAAACCATTTATTTGAATTTGAAGTTCAATTTGAAGTAACATAAAAATTATAAACCTCAACACAGAAATCACTTTAAAAAAAAATGTTTACCCATGATTTTACAGCAAAAAATAATAGCACTTTCAGTGTTTTTATTATTTTCATCATTATCCAATATATTTCAAAAATCAGGGTACACATTTTTAAAATTCCATATATAAAAGATGTAATTTTAAAAAAGACTACTTTTGCATATTTGCACAATGTACCAATGATTTTGGAAAAAAACATGTGACCGTCATCAAAATAACAAATACATTTTGTCACCATTTCAGATGTTATAACTGATGTATTAAAGAATAAGCAGTTGCATACCAGTATGAGATATCATTAGTTCATTCAAGCATGGACCTAAGCAGCCATTTAATGGGCAATTGAGGTGAGGGCAAGAAGTTCAGGGAGATATAATATTCCAAAACATGACATAACACAATGATTCTAGTAATTTATTATATTATATTTTGTACTTTGTTTCAAGTGGTTCTTCTGGCACATCAAAAGCCCTCTCATAGAAAAATATTTATAATTATATTCCATATTATATAATATCACGACATACAGTTACAAAAATATTGAAACTTTAATATTTAATGACTATTACTTCTGACAATTTTAAGTATATTTAAAAAAACAGTCATTACATTATTTAAAATCATGGGCATACCCCAGGCACACCTTCCTTCCCATGGCTGCAAATTACTTCCACTAAGTGAATTAAAATGCTAAAAATGTTTTCACTGGAATATATATTTAGTTTGTACTTCCTCAATTTTTGCACTCCCGGTTCTGCTATTTCAAGTTTTGCTCACCCCTCCCCCGGATAAAAGCAGACTACGCCCCTGAAAATTATTAAAATCGCAAAGCTGGGGTAATCCATATTCAGGTACTTGTAAGTGCAGAATTAGTTGCCATTTAAGTATAATTGAGATAATGATAAGAAATTCATATTACTCTAAAGACACAGCAACAGAAAAGCAAAACAAATGACAAAGAAACTCGAAAGGCAAGGAGATCCTCCAGGCAAATGGAGATTCAATGTAGCACAAACGCCAAGGAAATAATGCCATTTGTTGGCAATACGCTATCTTAATCCACATCAGGTTACATGGTTCTGCATTTTGACAGTTGTGCTCAAACTATCAGAAAATTTGCTGTTAATATTTTTCCCAGGACATTTAGCATCGTGAAATTGCGTGTAGGACTGGGATAAGAAAGATTATGTTTTCACAGGAATAAAATGTTGTGTAAAAGCCCACAAACTGCACTACTCTTGCTATCATAAATTACACAACCACATTCATGTACAAAATAAATCATATTTTTATACTATTACTGACTATTATCTACTAATTCAGATGTGTATGGCAGACAACATATGCTACACTTTTCTTTACTCTGCCAATTTTTTGACAATTTGAATATTATGTAGGTTATGTCAAAGATAGGATGTCGCATAGTCAGCCTTTTCAGTCGCTAACTCGTCATACACATTGCCAGTGTCATATCTAGGGGGTGCACGGGGACATGGTCACACCCCAAAAAAAATCATCGCTTCCTCAGTAGCCCACACCACAAAAAAAAAAAATGCTCAATCAGTTAAAATCTCCTTATTTTGCTAGCTGGTGTTTCCCTTACCTAATCATCGAGCTCCTGCCCCTCTCCCACCTTAACCTTTGCACTGCCTATCAGTACCCCCATTTCAAGACTCCTATATACACCACTGCTCAAGGCTGGAACATTAGTGCCATATATATATTTAATTTCATTACTTTAAATTTCCTCACAGTATAATTACACACATCTTGTAAAAGCTAAAAATATTCATGTAAAAAACAGTAAACAAAAGTCAGAGGGGCCAGAGAGGGGAGGAACAAATTTCTATCAGAGTATTACACAGAGAAACTTTAATGACACTTAAATAACCCCTTGTTCAATATGTTCTAGAGAGACAAGAGATGCAGTTTCCTGGGGCCTAGGATGCTTGCATGTTGACTTAAATGTGTACTAGTATTAATCACATTTATGCTATTACGTCCCATGAGCTCGCTTACTCACTCAAGGCCTATGATTGGCCTAGGAAATGAGACTTATAGACCCAATGATGTTAGTATATGTGGAGGGGGTGCATGTGTGATGGTGTTGGAATGCAGGTACAGTATATATAGTACTGTACAGTGTTGTTCGGTCAATGACAATATAGTATGCATGTAAAACATTGTAACGTTTACTGATGTTAATATTACAACATTTTTTACTAAAATGTACTGGTCACATTTTAACTTGAAACAGGTGCTCGGATGATATGGATTTGTTCAATCCCCATTTCCACATGAGTAATAAGATTTTTTTCAAAGAGAACATGATAAAAAATTAACTAAAAAGAAAATCACTGAAGAAACATAACTATAAAATTGAGTTCTCAAATTAGATTCTATGTTTAATTTTCTCCTTCATTTATCATTCATCTACTGTACCATACAAGGCTTCCTTTCATCACCTCTTAGTCATTTATTTTTCCATTACAAAGAAGTAAAGATTCTAAGTTGTTCAAAAGCACCCAACAATTCTCCCAGCCAGACAGTACTAGTAATATAGGCCATAGCCACATTGCTATACAGTAAGCCATGCAGGTATTCATATTTTACAATTTCATACCTATGTAAGTAGGCCAATGTAGAGCTTAAGTAGATTGTTTTTACTTGGTAAAATTATTTACTAACAACAGGTGGGCTAAAAAAGTACAAGCAAAGGAATAATTGGCCATGTCATAGTATCTGCTGTACCTGTACAACCAACTGCTGATTGAGAACATGATAGCCTAGAGTTTGCTTTTCTCTGCAGGAGATCTGTAACATAGCACTGAATGAAGCTGCGTGTACAAGATTTGAGTGCTCAAATTAGATTCTACAGCACATCATGTAGTGTACTGACTATACACTAGAATTGTGTTGGGTTGGACATCTAAAAAATAAAAACTCAAAATTATAGAATGGGATGATTCTCTATATTACCAAGTCTCATTAATGGATTTGAACCCAAGACTACATGATAAGATGGGAGGGAGGCTACGACTTCTCACCGGCACCAAAACTTGGTGATAAAGGGGATGATGAAAGTCGCGATGTTGATGAGTGATTAAATGAAGTGGAGATGAGGAGAGTACTAGCACCACTGTTACAGAAGCCCATGTCTTGGAACTGAAGTACATAATAATGATGATGAAAATGATGATTGCAATACTGAATAATGATGTCGAATATGATAATGATAACAATGAAAAAAATTCTGATTACTATACTGCATTACTCACATCACCTACAGTACATAGCTAACTTAACTATTCAATATTTACATCCTCTCACCTGGCAACTGAAGTAAATATTAATGATGATGATGATGAAAATTATGACAATACTGAATAATGATGTCAAAAATGATAAATGATAATGATCATAACAACAATAATCAAAATGATTACTGCATTATTCACATCACCTAGATATTTAACTTAACTATTCAATATTTACATCTCAACTGGGAACTGAAGTAAATAATTGATTATGATGAAAATGATAATGACAATACTGAATAATAATGTCAAATATAATAATGATTGATAATCAATAATCAAAATGCCGTACATTGTACTGCATTACTCACACCACCTATATATTTAACTTAACTATTAAATTTTTGCAGTAAATCTCTCACAATATAAAATTCCCATGAGCATAGGACAGGAAAGCACTAAATGACACAATAAATTATCAATGATTACAGTCAGTTAAAGTATTTGAAAATGTAACTCTAACCCAGACCTGTGTGAGGGTCATTCAAATGAAAAAAGTAATGAAATAAGGTTATTAAATGAACAATTACAGTAAAGTCCATTTAATAAGTAGCCTGGCTACAGCTTAATCAGTAGACAAGGTGATTAGTGGACAAGGTGATCAGTGGCAGCGCCAGTAGGTTGGGGGCACTGTCAGACATGTCGGACCCCTAACCAGCAAATTTCTGGAGCTACCACTGAAGGTGATGCTGTTATTGCAATTGGCTTTACATAAAATAATGATTTATTGTAAATCGTTAGTTAAAAACAAAAAGAAAACATCTAATATGGGATTAAATAAAATACTATAGTACAATTTATAGTGTCTGAGTACCATGGGTTGACTTGTCAATCAATTGTGAATGTCAATCAAAAGTAAAAAAATGTCAATCATTTGCTTACCTTCACGGCTGACTTCATGACAACATTAGCTGCAATCTGAAGACCGTTTTGACTAACTTTACGAAACGCCTCATAGCCTTTATCACTGGCATGTGCTATGTAGTCGTCTATGTCCTAAAAATAGTCAAACACATTAGAAATCTCATAGGTAAAGGAGTAAAAATCTTTACGGTTTTTAAACAATACATATAGTAGTTCTTCCATGTACCTTAAATTCAATTACAGTGACTCCCATATCTGCAACCAGGGGGAAGGAGGATGATTTTATTGTTCAGCATAACTTTTTTGTCAAGTAAACTCTTCTCTAATAAACTGAAAGTACTTTCTCACCTTGCATTAATTACCATCAAAACGATAATGAATTTTATGCTTAAATGCAAGGAACTTTGACGCTTGACATTACCAGGGCTCTCCTTTGCATCCCACCAGGGTACTAGCTTCCCCTAGAACTCTAGTTCATAGTCATTCTATAGTATTATTGATTAACCTTTTATTGTAGTCTGAAATTAAATTATTATCATTAAGCACCAATGGATATTATTATGTGATAGTATTTGGCAGTATTTTTATTTAAATATTAATTGATTAACATCAGAAAATAATGTTTGATTATGTCTACCAATGTAAAATTCTTGGGGAAAAAAATTAAATACAGATCTCCCTCCAATTAAAGACCACTTTTTTGGGGGGAGGGGGGAGTTCCATGGTCTTTAGAACCTTTGTCTCTAATTAAAATAATAAAGATAAAATATGTTTGTTAATATGGAACCAGAGAAAAGTTATTAAAATTACATGGAATCAGGCATTATTTTTATTTATTGATTGATTAACATCAGAAATAATGTTTGACTATGTCTACCAATATAAAATTCAGGGGGAAAAAAAATTAAATACAGGTCTCCCTCCAATTAAAGACCACTTTTCGACCAGGGTTTCCATCGGTCTTGCTGCTTTGGTCTCTAATTAAAATAATAAAGATAGAAGGCATTTGTTAATATGGGACCAGTGGTCTTTAATTGGAGAGGTCTAAAATTAGAGGGAGACCTGTATATTTCATTTTAAAAAAGGGAAAAAATCACCTATAATCAAGCAAGATAAGCAGAGGAAAAAAATAAATAAATGTAAGATGTAACTGTCAAGCCTGGGCATAGTAACGAAACAAGGCTAAGATCACTGAAACTTAGACATGACAACACTGATTAGGGATGATTGATTAGTAGTCACAACATATCAAAGTTAGGTACACAAAGGAAAATTATAAGCCTGTTGTAAAATTGCATTGTAATGGTTTTAAAAGGGCAGTAAATAAAAGCCTCTGGGTACATATCCTGTACTAAGAACACCTCCACAGCTAAATAGGATATGACATAGTATTGTGCAACACTTCACCAGCTTAGTAAATGTCATTTTCAAGCAGTTCTCATCCTCAATACTGTTTACTTAATAACTACTAAATAAGCAATACAATTTGATATTTGAACAAAGAACAATTTCTATTAATCAGATTTTTCTCATTCTTTAATGATCGTTTATTACAAGAACCAAAAGATAATCATGTGAAACTTTTACAATTGTTTTTCTCAATATGTTCAGTTTCCATTTTCAAAACTTTTGATTTAAATGTACACAGAAAAAATATTGGCAGGCTTTAATTTCCTGATTGTTAGACATGTTTAAACTTGATGGAGATTATTTTGAAAACTTCTAACAAAAGCCTTAAAGTACATTTGGTATGCAGCTTAATGTCCTTGACATCAAAAATCTAAAAGATCTATTAGAAAACAATGAAAAAGCAAATTTGGGATGAAATTTGATGACAGTACAAAAAGTTATTGTTACATAACATTGGTACGTCATCATAAATAAACATTTATAAAGAAATACTTCATTGTATTAATTTATTCATTTTAATACTGTATACATTGTATTTAAATCCCTGTTTAATAAACAAAGTTTCTCATTATACACAGGGTATAATTCTTGAATAAGCACCTCCATGCTTATTCAAGAGTTGCACTTAGCGAAAAAAAGCAGGTTTGGTGTGGCGCTTATTCGAGAGCAGCGTTTATTCTAGCAATATACTATTCAAACAACAACAAGCAACATACCTTTTCTTTTTTGCTCAGTGTAGGGTGAATGAACTTTCTATACATGTATGTAGCACCCTTAGTCCAAGGAGAAATTAACCAGAATATAAATAAAATCTTTGCCTCATAATAAAAAGGAATACTGTGAAAAAAAAACAAAAAAGATTTGCAATGTTAGATCAGAATTTTAACATATTATTTTGTTTTATCTCAACTTTGAAATAAAAAAACATTGTAATTTATTTAATACTGTACTCCAAAATACAATGTAAACAAATTTGGTGTAATAATACTAAAAATAAAACATTTACACCGATGCCAATATAAAATAGCAGCAGTGGACCTGCAAGTAAATTGGACGTACAGTACACGCCTTCTAATATAGAGGTCTTGGGTTCAAATCCTGGCTGCAAAATGCCAGGATATTTTCTTGGGGCACTTTTGACTGCACTGATTTTATAAATATGTCAAAATAGTTTATGAAAAATCACATGTAATTGACTAACTTGTGTAAATTTTTACTTGGTAAGAATGACCCTTTCACTTTCTGACACATTTGTGTGTTTATGACAATGTATTTTGTTATTGCTGAATTTTTACAGTGAATTATACTTCCTATCGATAGAGCAGGTTTGAGTCTGAAGCAGGTCTGTCTGAGACACTGCACTGGTAAAGGATTGTGCTTAGGTGCAAGACAGACTAAGTTCAAGTCCTGCCAATGCTGTATTACTTGAGTTGGGATACTCCACTTCTACTGTACATGTTAAGCTGTTGGTCTCATGTGCAACTGTGCTTAATGACACATACATTATGCACTATTCAAAAAGTGGTAGGCATTTTTTGGTGTCCAACTTTATCCATGCTCTATTGGTTTAACAAGCTTTGTTTTAACACAATTCATTGTATGCTGCATGGTGATATTACCATGGCCACCAGGACACTTCAGCGAGATTAGCAAGTAAACAAAGAATGGGTTGTTGACCATGGGATAAGTTGAAATTTACTTCCGGAGTAGTTTCGTTACACGTATTTACCGTGAGCTAAAACTTGCTCGAACGGTCGACCACCCGCTGAGTGCTCAGCGCGATTACCCGGTGAAATAAACGGAATATGGTTGGCGTTTTTTGCTCGAACGGGCCCAAAGTGGTAGGCATTTTTTGGTGTCCAACTTTATCCGTGCTGTATTGGTTTAACAAGCTTTATTTTAACACAATTCATTGTATGCTGCATGGTGATATTACCATGGCCACCAGGACACTTCAGCGAGATGATTATTCAATTAATACAAAGGTCTGAATTTGCAGGACCTATAGGTGGATTTTGCTTGCTCTCGAAAGTGCAGGTGAGATTGTGCATATTTCCAAGAGTTTCCAGCAACATGCAAAAAATCTGGGATCCATGTTAAGCCCTGTCCAGAATATCAAATTTTATTTGAAAAAAAAAACAAACATGTGACATGCCTATTAGAATATGGTCATGATGACATCACATCATGACCATATATAGGTACATCATTGCTATATAAGCACATCATGCCTATATATGGGCATACAACAGTTTCTTGCCAAAGAAATTTATTAGTTTTGATAGAGCTTTATAAAACAGTGTTTAAATTATTAAAAATGGTTCGGACTAAAAAATTTAAAGGGGAAGATGCTGTACTCCCTCTACTGTTTGTGTTCCATAGGCGTTTAATCCAATGACCGGGATAATGATAGTGTGAAGCGCATAGAGGTCATGCGCTATATAAGTCTACCATTATTATTGTTATCATTATTTTACTAACAAAGCAATCTTGGAATGCATTGAGTAAATTAGGACAAATAATTGCTGACACAACAACAAGGTCAAAAAAAACAAAAAACAAATGATCAACTTGAACTTGTCCTGCTGGCTTGAATAACAACATTAAGGTCAACATTGATCATATTTAAATATAGATCTTTGTTTCTTGTTTTTCACCATTTACAACAAGTTCAGACAGATACTGAACAAGATCAGACAAGACCTGGCAGGAGAACAATGTAAAAACGCAAGCACAAAGAATGTTGAAGAGCCTTTAGTGGATGGATCCATCGTCAGGTGACATCAGCCTCCGACAGTTTTGTTCCTGTGTGCTTCCTGCCCTAGATCCCGCGTTCCAATTTGGAACAGATATTAATGGAAAACATGTACTCTTTTTGAACTAAATTAAAACTATATCAAATTCTAACACTGTTCAGTAAAATATCTGATCAGTATGTATCAGAAATACACTTACAATAAAGATTTTAAAGTAAATTAATTGCATCATATCATAATATCAGTATCAAATAAATTACAAACAATGATACTTTAAGAAAACAGGTCAGCAACAGGGGTCATAGATCCTGTGCTGTTCTTATTCAAGTTAATAATAAAGCAAAGCTACAGTTAAAGATTTATACCATTTAAATAAAAAAAATCCAGATTAGATGGAAATACATCTAATATTACTATACTTATAAATGAACAGTATCCATTATGTTCTAAAATAATGGTTCATCTTGTTTTTAAAGTAAGTTGGTAAAGTGGAGTGTTAAATAATTCATACTTTCAACCCATTAAATCGTTGCTTTCAGCTATCCCGAATGGGTATTAAATAATATGTAATCAAAAACATCATAAAACTAATAATTGCTTCATGATTCAAATTAAAATGTTATTAAAAATGATAAATTCATTATTTAAAATCTAACTATCTGTCCGTCCCAGCTTGAGGCCGTAAGGGAAACATGTTGATGATGTTTGAGACACATGGCTTGTATTTGATCATTCTCTTCTGTTGTGTACCTTAATACTAGTTGACAAAATATATTCAATTTTTATACTTTTGGAATACGGTACATCTTATATTACATTATAAAATACATTCAACTTACATAGCAGCAAATATGTCACTAAATGTTTCAACGCAAGAAAATATTGCAAATACTATCCAATACATCATCCATTTTACCTGAAAAAAAACAAAAAAAAATAAGATTTGAGTGGATATGATTTGTTGGTTAGGGTGCATACTTTTTGATCCAAATACCTTGGTTCAAATCCTATGAACTACAATGATTTGTATTTCTACAAATGACCTCCCTCCCAAAGTCTAATCATAAAACTTTCTGTAATTTTACCGTTGAACTCTTAATCAAAGGGTATTGGCTTAAATCTAATAAAATACTAGGAATATGGTATTACACTTGATACTTTTTTTTGGTAAAATTTTTATTACTGTACTTTTATTATTGTACTAATTTATGTACTAATTTGAAGACTACTGTGGTAGAGAAAAGTATTAGTATTTGATTTGGGTACACAGGAAGTATCCTCAATTTATCTCTATAGGGCAGAAGTTCACCTGATTTAGGAGAAGTAAGGGTCTATTGGTTGTCTTCCATTTAGCCCCTCACATAGAGTGGCTTTATCTAATATCACCAAACACTACACAGAAAAAGTCCTTATTATTCAGGCTTTAACTTCGAAAAAAAATTTGGCGTGATAGGAATTGCCTGGTACGTATTTGAACTTGAATTACTCCGTCAATGTTCACTCACTTCCCGCACATTACCCAGCAATGTTCTTTACGAAATGGTAAATCGTTAAATTCAGATCAAACGGGATGAGAAATGGTCCATGAGAAAGGGTCTGTGAGAGGCTCTGGATACCGCAGAGACCAGCCATTTCCTGTAACAGACTTGAGGAACAATTTAATTACATTGGCTTGAGTGACACATTGGGCTGCGAGCTAACAAGCTCAAGTAATTTCTTAACAGATTCCAGACATTATAATCACAAGTAAATACTACAGTGAACTGAAATCATTTCTACAAGGGTTGCCACGAAACACTCTGAAATTATTATATAATTCAATGTGGCATGAATCAGAAATAAAAACCTAATACTCTGCCAATATTTTTTACAGTAATCTGTGAATATGAAGGGGCTATACACTGTACGCATGGACCAGCCTCTGAATCGGTCTAACTTACACTGTAAGACTTCCCCTTCTTCTTGTTGACCACAGAAGACACATTAGCATGGGAACCAACTGCCTATTATATTCCTATCGTTAAAGCATATAAATAACTATCCTTGAGAAGTGCCAGAATGGTTTAATTGTTAAGTACCACTCTTGTATAAGCGGTTAGGCACTTACTACAGTAGATACATTCTATTGTATATAAATGTTGTGCAAAAGATTTTAAACCTGCCTTGATATTTTTTTCAATAAATTAAACAAGTGATTTTTCATGCAATTAATTTTGGAATATGTCAGATAGGCTTGCACAACACATGGTACAAACTATTTTAAATCTCCAATAATTTCTAATAAACACTGCTCTCGAATGTGCACATCATCTCCCGAACAAGCCACGCACAGAAGCTGCCAAAAACTTTACAAGTGCCTCTGAGCTTATTACTAATAAGGTCATTTAATAAAGTATGCTTAAAGATTTATCAATTTTAGGCCAATTACATGACATTTTTGTTGACCTACGACAAAAAAACTGAGTTGTTTGTCATGATTATTTGATGTAGTATAGCATCTGCAAATTTTTAGATCCATAAATAACAAAACTGTTTTCATGAGATTCCTCTGAAAATTAACGGTAAGAATGATTGAAGTGTTGAGGATATGAGTAACTGAATATGGGAAGCATCTAATTCGAAAATGTGATTTTTCTGTGTATTTTAACGAAAGCTGGAAACGAGATGAACTGAAATCATTTCTACAAGGGTTGCCACGAAACACTCTGAAATTATTATATAATTCAATGTGGCATGAATCAGAAATAAAAACCTAATACTCTGCCAATATTTTTTACAGTAATCTGTGAATATGAAGGGGCTATACACTGTACGCATGGACCAGCCTCTGAATCGGTCTAACTTACACTGTAAGACTTCCCCTTCTTCTTGTTGACCACAGAAGACACATTAGCATGGGAACCAACTGCCTATTATATTCCTATCGTTAAAGCATATAAATAACTATCCTTGAGAAGTGCCAGAATGGTTTAATTGTTAAGTACCACTCTTGTATAAGCGGTTAGGCACTTACTACAGTAGATACATTCTATTGTATATAAATGTTGTGCAAAAGATTTTAAACCTGCCTTGATATTTTTTTCAATAAATTAAACAAGTGATTTTTCATGCAATTAATTTTGGAATATGTCAGATAGGCTTGCACAACACATGGTACAAACTATTTTAAATCTCTAATAATTTCTAATAAACACTGCTCTCGAATGCGCACATCATCTCCCGAACAAGCCACGCACAGAAGCTGCCAAAAACTTTACAAGTGCCTCTGAGCTTATTACTAATAAGGTCATTTAATAAAGTATGCTTGAAGATTTATCAATTTTAGGCCAATTACATGACATTTTTGTTGACCTACGACAAAAAAACTGAGTTGTTTGTCATGATTATTTGATGTAGTATAGCATCTGCAAATTTTTAGATCAATAAATAACAAAACTATTTTCATGAGATTCCTCTGAAAATTAACGGTAAGAATGTTTGAAGTGTTGAGGATATGAGTAACTGAATATGGGAAGCATCTAATTCGAAAATGTGATTTTTCTGTGTATTTTAACGAAAGCTGGAAACGAGAACAACAAATGTGAACATCAGTTTAAATCTTTTTTTAGGGTTAAATATGAACATGAAGTCATTTTGATTAGGATTTCTAATCAACTAATCTTTAGAAACAGATGAAAACATGATATTTTGAACTTGAAGTCATTATGAGATCAGAGAACGAACTTGGTCACTGGCTTGATAAATATTTTACCCTACTTTCATGATGTGTATGATGTAACTTAGCAAATCTGTTTCCTCCTTGTAATGTAAACTTCAATTTTGCTTTAAGCTGATGCTTTCATTTTTACAGAGTACGTCTGTTTCTAGATGGTGAATATCTAATAAATAAATGACACTAAAATTTTGAATAGTTAAATATAAGTCATGTGCAATTTCCACAATAGGAAATTATAAATTTTCTAATACTCTTTAGCTTTTCAGGGTCAAACAATAGGGCAAAAGCATAAGATGAGCAAAGCATCATATACTGTATGACAGCAGCTGTTGACAAGTTATCCTTATTGGTTTATCTTTACTGTCGCCAGTTTTTTGTGATTGAAACTCTATTAAGGGACCACCCTTGGGCAGACATAAATAATGGTCCCTTTGGAGTTGTCCATACAGAGTTTTAGTGCAATGATATGGGAAAGAATGTCTCCAATGGGGAAAGAATGTCTCCACTGGGGGAAAGAAATGGTGGTTCTGTAATTGAGAGAGGTAGTCCGCCCCTTCATACAAGTGGAGATTTTCCAATACATAATATTTAATTAATAAAAATGTACTATATTCAGTGAGTAAAATAAAATTATTAATTTTTATATCATCATTGCCAAGCTTAAAAAAGTTTATTTACACCAAGTAGCTGCAGAAATTCTGAATGAAGAGGATGTTTGTTACAGTACACGGTACGCAGCATAGAGTATAAATAAACACAATACTTAGATTGGCTCAACAACAACATCCAATATACATACTCGACTTGTTACATGCACTGAGTACCATATTCTCTTATCCCAGGTATGCAGGTTAATTATATAAAGTAGGTCCATGCTAATTTAAACCATTTAATAAAGGATGTTTAAATTTAAGCATGTACAGAGAGGATTTTCTTTCCTCCCTTCCCTCTTGACAAAAAAAAACTTAAATTATAAAATAGTAATTGAAAAATTATGACAATTTTTTTTTAATTGTTTAAACTGCATAATATACTATATTGAATATAAATGGAGGCACACAACTAAAATATATACAGCTTTAAATGATCAGGTATTCGAAGATTAATCTTAAAAGATTATAGAATGGCTGAGAGCAAACATCAGCATACAATATATAACAACCCACACACAAGACCCACATATATATATACAGTTACTTTATCCACCCACATGTACTCTGCTGTACACGCCCATTGCACACATAAAATTCTGCAACTATTGATGAGAATTACAACCAAGATTGTGATGTTAAAATTTTTTAAATGTGAATTAATCTGATTTGTTATAAATTCAATAAATAAATTTTATCTTACGTATTCTTTTACATTTCTTGACTTGATTGCTTTATATGATGAATATGCTGGATATAAAGTGCCGAAAACCAACCTGAAATAAAAACAGATATCTATTTAATAAAGTACTTTAATAAAATATAAACTAACCACAAGAAATTTCATAACAGGAAAGATTATCAAAACGGAATTTAAAATATGTTGATAACTGGAGGCAATGGTTCTATCTAGGCTTTAAATACTTTAAACTTCAAGCATTTATTAACATAAAAAAAAATATAATATAAAAACACTAAAATGAGCACTGTCGACCGAAGTACATAGTTGTCCAGATTATGAAAAGGCGATGACAAGCACCATCATAGTCAAATAGAATATTCAAAAGGATTTGTTTCACAGGGTGAATTCATTCAGGATTTGATTATGATTCTTTCACAATCAAAGTCAATTTCCAGAAAATTAGATAAATGTGAAATATTTCCAGGATTCTGATAGTCACTGCAATCTCAATAAATCAAATCCCACATAAACAGATAACATAGGTGCCTACACTGTATTCCATGTAAAGCAAGGTCCTTTACTTGAGATGATGAGAAAGCAGCTATTAATTAATCCATTTGTAGATTTGATTATGGTTAATTTTTTTTTGTTTTTTCCCCTTCTTCTTTATGTTGTTGTTAAGTGCCCCAAGGTTGTGACAATGCGTGGTGCAATATAAATGCAGAATTATTATTACTTATTTTTATTGCCGTGTGGCAACAAAAAAGGTCTAGATATTGAGTCTTGTCAACATCTGTTCTGAACTTAAGACTTTCAGCTGCCTCGAAGTTGCTTTCACACCAAATCTGAATTTTGGATCGGAAAGCTTAACAAACCAACCCAAAAATTGCATCAGTGCGTAAGAATAGGACGCTAAGAGTATAGCAGATCGGAAATTCGATCCAAATTTTGGTTCGGACCCAATGTAAATACAGCTTTACTCATTGCCTTGCTTTTCAATAAATGCTGACAAAATTTACTTACGACAAAACAGGACACTACAATATTTATTTAAATTGTACTACATATACCCCTCCCCCGGGAGATATGCTACCCTTCATGCGCATCAATCTGAATGGCACCTGATATAGGTCCAGCAACTAGGTACGGTGAAAATAATATTCTATCACAAATACATGAAGGCGTGAACAATCTAGTTAGATCGCAACCATGATGGCAATCAAGATCGAGATTAAAACTTAGAAGGGTCAATAAAAAAACATAATACAGTTACAACTCAGCAAACTATTATTCAATATACAAATAATACAAATATTTCAAATCTTTTGAATTAGTAAAATGGATGGATATATTCAGACAAAAGATAAGTCCGTATTAAATGCATTCATTCAAAGCTGGTGAGAAAAGACTTAGACTTGGGGAAATTATTAGTTGAGTATCTTTCATCACAAAGCCCAATATTAAGCCACCTCAAGGGTTTCTTTTTATTATCTCTTTACATAGCAGCAAGCGATGAATTGCTGGCACCTATTGGTATGGCTCAAACATAGCATGAGCTACTTCATAGCTCTATCACAATGTTTGAATACTGTTTAAGCATCTAACCACAAAGTTAACACGTTGGCTGCCCGCGACGAGTATACTTGCCCACAGGGTGTCGCTGAGGGTGCCAGGGACGAGTATACTTGTAAAAATTGGGGTAACATTCTAGCGTTTATAACTTCTTTGTATACACTGTAGAACCACAGACTTAACAGCTGGTAGTTCGGGGAAGGTATACGATAACGTACAAATGACGTACGTATGTTTGTTGTGTTATGTTGCTGGTAGTACACTCAAGCAGCACAAGTGGGGGCGCCCTTTGAACATATTTACTGTACCTTGATTTACCTTGACCTTTAAACTGGAAACCTGTTAAGGTTTGTGGGTCCCTTTACTGTATGATATACTTTGGTAGGGTTTGTACTTCAGGCTGTGGTTTTGCCAGTACGCAACATTTCAACCCATGCCAAAAACGGACGAGATAACTCGCACTTGGCATAGTCAATAAATAGTTCTTTAGTGCTGTCAATGAGTTTACTCGTCTCCTAATATTTTCCCGCCAATTTATTAGACACATAATTTTGATTATATATGACTAGATAAAATTTCAAAAAAGTATGTTTGTATGTTAATCTTGTTTTGGCACACGGGAAGGAACCTTAAAAAAAGGTCTGGCAGTCAATGTGTTAAGACCCAAAATGGAAACTGCTGTGCCTAACTACATAATATACTCTCTCGATCACTGCCTGATTGCTACTGTAGCAAAAAACACTGTGTACAGAGTCTCATTCTTAACACTCTAGTACACACTCTCATTGTTAACATTTGAGTACATTCTCAATGCTCACTTGAGTGTAATTTAAAAAATTAAACAATCAAAAGTAACACAAGAAAGTATAATACATACTCCAAGTATTGAAATACACGCCATCGTGTTGGGATTCAATATTTCGACATTAATTATGTCATCATCAGGAATGAAAAATTTATCCATATTAGCATTAAACCTAATTTATTACTTACATTACAGACGACATTATCATTTTCAAGTATACCCTGTAAACCTAAAACAAATTGGAATGCCTCACAGTTTTTAACATGATCAAATATAACACTATCAGATCGTGAAGAATGTTCTTTAAGTAACACAATAATAAAAAACAAACAAAAAATGAAGCAAATTTAATCATTAAGTTTCAAAATTTGATTTTTAAAAATTAATAAAAATAATTTAGAAAATCAACATTTTTATCTGATGCTTGATTCTTTAATAGAAATATAATTCTCAACAACTATTAGGAAGTAAATATTATTTTCCATAGATCATAGGGTATCATTGTGTTTCAATAGAATACTTGTCAAAATCATTGTGGGCAGCTCAGCAATTATCAAGTTGAATGGTACTAGATCAAGCTTGATTAAACCTTATCAATAACTGAATATTTTCAACTTGGGAGCACAAATTCCCCAATGAATACATACCAGAAATATCTAATGAAAAGGCCAAATTTGTAGACCAAAGTAAGGCCAGCAACTAAGGGGGGTTTCTATGATACGAACGAACCCACTTTTTCAAACAAACCCACCCTCTGATAAACAAAACCACATCCTCATTTTGCACAAAAAAAACTCATTAAAATTATTCACCTTCATTTTCATGCTAGCATGCTACTCCAGTTTTAAAAAAAAATGAATTAGTAACTGGCTTGACATCAGAAAGAGTACAACTAGCCATAGGGCCAGAACAGAGGAACAGTATTACCACAGTTGCTCAGGTATAAATCCACCTGGGATAAAAGCCCACCCCCTAATTCAGGGGCGGATCCAGAATTTTCCAAACAGGGGAGCACAACAGTCGCAGAATAGGTAAGTGAGTAGCACATAACATTGATTTACATTGAAATTTTTACTGGATCCTTCCCTGGTCTAATTTACGGCCAATTTTATGTACCACCTTTCCTCGGGCAAAAGGCTAGGGTATGATTTGAATGAGTAGCTTAGCTGACTTTAAACAAAATCTTTTTAAAAAAATCAAATATTGGCTTTGAATTAGAGAGGGAGGTCCCCCTATGTGTAAGTCCATCCTAAAAATTTGATAAAGTGATAAAGTCTTGTTCCAAATTTTCATTTTAATGTAACTGAAATCTCCAAAAAAAAAAAAAAACAATTGGGAAATGGTTGGTATTTGGCAAGGTTGTAAGACAATAGATGGATGCTGAAAGTTACAGAATGGTAATGGAATTCAAGAGAAGGAAATGTAAAGGGGATAAACAAAGAGAAGATGGATAAAATTACCTACTGTAAAGGCAAACACTCCAACCAAGATGGATGTCCGTAGCCAAGGACAGAGAAAGTTGGAAGAATTTAGAGGAGGGATATGTTCTACAGTGGAATGACACATCCTGAATGAATAAATGATGAATTGAATTCTGCACATATTGTAATGTAATAATCATACAGTCAGTAATTTAACTTGAGCCTACATTTCAAATTAATATCTGCTGGTACTGTAGTATTTAAATTAACAGTAGAAAGCTTTGAGATAACTACCCAGACAATTCTAAATTTATATTCCAAAAATTGAAATTAAAATCAGTATCTGAACCCAATAAATCCCTTTGGGAATAGATTGATACTCATTTTTTGCTTAGAGTTGAATAAAACCTTCAATAAATCCAAGGTCACAGGGGTTCTCCCACAATCTTGCGAGTAAGCAATAAACTCATGGAAAATATACCATCTCCCACAAATTCACATTTGCTTGTTTTTTTACCAATCAATTATCTCCTGTAATATTACCATATAGTACATTTTAAAGTGTGGAAAATGAATGAATAAACTGAACTATGATATAGTCGATGTCAAAGAGACCTTATTATATGCTGTTATGTATCAACAAAGCCCTTTTTGTCTGGGTGCTAGATCAAGGACCCTATGGATAGGGGACCCTAGGGGCTCCTAAGGTTTAGGGGCCCTGCGGACCACTGCACGAGAGCACATAGGCATCACGCCACTCAAAGTTTGAAAGGCAGGATAAGCAGCCCACGAAATTAGGAAAAAATTAGGTCGGCAAAAATTTGCCGACCTTAAATTCTCCGAGGCCGGCAGCCTCAGCAATTTTTTACTACATAGGCCTATATAGTATAAACTACAATTTTTCCGAACGCTCGACCTTACATCGTCATCTACAGATTGTGATTTTGTTAAATTTCTCTATTAAATCAATATATTGCTGGTGAAAGAATGGTCGTACTTGTATTAATTTAATAGTGTAGTAATACATGTTTTACATAAGAAAATCGCCGAATAAATTTTGTTTTAGCGTTTGTTTTATTGTTATCTTTGGCATGGGAAATGTCACTTTCGTAAAAGCTACGATCGTATCATCACAGGCTGCTTCAAAACTGCCTATGCATGTCCATACGCATGCCCAGAATGATTTATCAGGGATTTTCCACACATGTACAGTACGTGTCACTCAGTAGTGTAGTCACGATGCGATCGTGATTGCGTTTAAACGGAAGGTAGGATTAGGCCTACAATATGTTGAATTTTGTTGTTTTTAGATAATAAACAACATTTTAAGTATAATAATACTGTAAAATGAAGACAAATAATAGATTTAGATAAGCATTACGATCTACGCGGCCCACATGGCTTCAAATGGGTGATGCCTTGGCTGGCTAGCGTCATTCCTACCTAGGCCTAGCCTACGAAACGACCAGCGAGAAAGACAAGACAATTGTACACAAATCGTACGTACTGCATGCCTATTATAAATAGTTATTGTACAAACAAATCTGTTTTATGAACTACCAATTTCCTTGGTTTGACGACGTACATGAAATTTAGTGTTTGCTATAGCCTGTTTCAGTCAAAGTCAAATCTTTGGTCGGCAAAAAATTGCCGTCCTGTAGCAATTCTGGCTCGGCAATATGGTCGGCAATTGCCGATTGCTGACGTGAAATTCGTGGGCTGGGATAAGGGTAAAGTGATTGCCACATTTTTATTAGTCTTGTTTATTGATATTGATTATCTATTGATTATAATACTGTATGTAAATATTGTAAAATATGCATCATTATTGTAATACCAATTATAGCAAGACTTTTCATAATGTAAATTGATTAGCAGATTTGAATAATGTTCTTCGCATGGAGAGAAATTATTTTTTAATTTAAGAGTTTTCCACATCTTGAAAAATTGTTCCAGCAAAAGACGAGCTGAGGAATAAATATCTTTTATTGACAATAAAACAGTTTCAAACCAGAAAATCCATGACATTTCTCATCTTTAAGAAAAGGTCTTGGCACCATACATATTGTACTGAAGAAAATTATGTTAGGGTAGATAATCACTCAAAAAATGTGTGTGTGGGGAAAACGTAACATTCGAACACACATTAATGCGAGGATCTACTAGACAAAGTAATTCTTTATTTAGTTGCACAGCTAAGGCCTAGTAGTAGGCCCAGCCTATAGATAGGCCTATCTAGGGCCTACCAATGCAGAATTTATACAAAATTCTGCTCTTAAATTCAAAATACAATAGAAGCTTATGCATAACCTAGGCTAGATAGATTAATCCATCATCCTATAAAATATTACAGGACTAGGGCATAGGCCTAGCCTAGGCCTACATTAATGAGCCAGACACAACTCGCGGCGGACAACAGACGGATCAAACCCTGCTGAACGAGAACCTTCTGAAAAAATTAGGCCTAGCCTAGCCACTCTCTCAGGCATTCTACTAGCGACGTCCTGTACTTTGTACTTACACAACTAAGCGGGACACAATATAAGAAACCATTATCAGTCTTCTTTGTCAGGTTGTTACTGCATTGATGATGACTGAACCACTTTTTGGACTGGACTTCCTTCCACATCCACAAACGACATAAAACAAAACTGCTGCTGAGACGTTTTTGAAGATTTGGTTGAGTTGTACGAAAATCAAAACATTCATTGATTGGTTGCACATTCCAATCAAATCGTTCAAGCGGTAATTAGACTGTAGATGGCGCTGTGTACAATTATTAAATCATCAGAGATTAGGCTAATTTATTATGAACTACACTTTTTTTATCCGTGGCACACTTCTCGCGTCCTAAACAATACAGCAAAGTTTACAAAGATACTTAAACTACAATAAAAACAGTTCAAATTTCAAAAGGAACACCAAACAAGTAAATAAAAAGCAACAGTAATATTTTAGTCAGCAGGTATGTGATCTTAAACTAAAGATGTAGCCTAACACATGAACATAGTCAAAATACACAAACATACATAAAATAAACATACATAATACATACACATAGAAAAGCACATACCCACGTATACATGACTACTCGCATACACGTACATACAGACAGACATAAAACATACACAAAACACCCACCAATCAAGCCTGAAACACACAAATACACACAGAAGTAAATAAAATCTAACGTACAAGTCATACAAAAACTAAAACAGGACTGAAGTTGAAAATTTTAATTGTTCTTTTTTTCTTTTTTCTTTTTTTTTTTTATCTCATTTCACTTTTTCCGCAGACGTTTTACAAAACCTGCCAAATTTTTCTTCAATTTCTTGTGGAAAATCTAGTAAAGATAAGCCAAGAACATAGGCTACAATAATTACTGCTCAGTTGTTGAATTTATAAATTGTTTCCAAATATAGTATTGTTATCTATTACAACAGAAGATGTCATTATTTTTATCACCCTGTCTATAAGTTCACGTTCAAGCTTTGCTAGTTCTTCCAATCTGATGTTATGGATGGACGGAAAGGACGTGGAAAAAAAATGTCGAATGTCTTCAATAGAATCAGAATTATAGACAAATGACATCATTATTATCAGACCAATTTGAAACTTTCAATGTAAGTATTGGAGCGTAATTTAAATTTTATGCAAGCACCCCGAAATTTATAGTTTCAAGTAAATATTTTTTTAGATTGAGGTGCCTTTCCTTAATAATTGAGTAATCCGAAATGGACACCGTCAATTTACTGGTTGGCGCCGAACAGGCGAGATTATACGAGAGTATCGTCTGAAATAAATGGAGGGTTTAGAGCTTTTGCTCTTTTTACGAATACAATATCAACCCCTCCCCAAAAAAAAAAAACACACTAGTAAAGTTCGGCCTTAATAATCTCTCACACATGTTTCCTGTATGGGGTAAGGACAACCACTGAATTTGGTCAAATATAGGTATATATGGCCAAATATAGGTATATAAATAATGGCAAAAGCAAAAAGTAAGCAATGGCGTATCTAGGTGGGGTGAATGGGGGAGGGGCGCAGTTTCCCACCACACCCCCCCCCCCCACACACACAAAAAAATCACGGTCAAGTACTTAAAAGTCACCTAAAATCACATTATTTTGCGAAATAGCGCCCCTCAACTGATCATCAATCCCATCCACCCACTTCAACTTCGCGCCCCACCCCACCCCCATTTACAGTAACAAAGAATAAACCATTTCAAGACTTCTCTACGCCATTGAATTGGAGTACTTTTAAACAGTAAATTTGTGTGCACCTGATAATATACAAACACTAATTATATAAATAGTTCTAATCAATGGTTAAAACCCCACCCAAACAAGAATGACTAGATTTTCTCATCATTACTTTATTAAAAAAATTAACTCACTTATTTCGGCGTTCGACAATTTAATTGTTTTCTATTTCTTATTACTGTGTCGAACGTCGAAGCACATAGAGCGCCACGCATCGTCTCGTTTGGATATTTTTTTATTATTATTTATAGGGCTTATAGTTTTATTTCGATATGTTTTAATTACAACAATTGTCCTTATATAATGTTTAATAATGCTTATGCCCCAATTATATTAAAGTGCTTGCACAAAAGTCTGAGTCAAATTGAGAAGGAAAAGAACTCTTGCATTTAATATTAAGTTTTTATTCTTATTTTTTATTGCTAAAATCGAAAAACAACACCATCTGGTAGTCAACGTTACTTCGGAAGTAGAAAAGAACCAAAAAGTGGATTAATCACAATAAATGTATATAAAGCTCTATACAAGATTATCTTATGTTAAATATTAAAAAATAAATAAGAAAATGCGGTAGTTAAAGTGACATGTTTTGTTTATTGCACAAAACATGTCCTAATCAGTAATAGCAATAATTTATTCAGAAATGTTAGTCTGAAACTTTAAATATTAGCGGATCTCATGAATATCATTACGAGATATACTAACATGAAACACTTCTGTACGATGAACATTCTAAATATGTAGCCTAGTGTGGAATAATTGATGATTGCAAATTTACGGTATTATTTATTTATAACTAGTACCCTGCCTGTACAGGTAGGATTATGTAGAAATAATAATAATTTTTAAAAAAGGACAGAAAAACGCTTAACTAACACATTTGACTACATTTTATTGCCACATTCATTTCAAATATATATTTAAAAAAAAGGACCATTGCCGTGACATTGTTATATCAATGCCGTGACCAGGATTCGAACCTGGGTTATTGCGGCCACAACGCAATGTACTAACCACTATACGATCACGGCGCGCTACTTGGCCCAGATGTGCAGAGTTCCACAACTGCAGCGTAGTATGGATTCAAGATAGCTTTCCAACGTATAGCATCACGCAAGGCACAAGAGACCAGAACGTACGAAGGTGAAGTAGCGTTTGCATAATAAGTTGCAATTTAGCGGAACTAGTGTATGACTATCTAAGATATGCGACCTAGAACAGTTTCAGCTCACATTAACCCTCAGTAGGCCTAGGCTACAGTTGGACGACTACCTAGGGCCTAGCCTATGCCCCCTGATAATCACCGTTGACCTGCAAGAGGCAGCGACACGTGGCGGGCTTGTTTTGCTTCTTTTTTTTTTTTTTTTTTAATAGTTCATGTCAGTCAACGTTAAGCATGGCAAAGAGTTGCCCTCGAACCAGCGTTATTGTTATCGGTTCAGGAATTGCAGGTTTAAGTGCTGCAAGGAAATTGACACAGTGTCTCCCTAATTGCAAGGTTACAATTTTAGAAGCACTGTCAAGACCAGGAGGACGAATAAATTCAGTTGAAATAAATGGTAAAGTATGAACTTGTGATCACAGGCTGAAGTCAGCTGTTTCAAAGAATAGGCTATATAAGTTTATAAAATAGTTATCCGGTTTATTGCTAGCTAGGCCTTTACTGTGTGATGAACAGAATAACTATACACCGGTAAAACTGCAGTGCATTAATTAAGTGTTTATTTAATTCTAGGCAAAAATATATTAAAACTGCATGCACGTACAAAGCAGCCGCTGAGGAACTAAACAAAGTATTATTCAATCTAGCAATTTTGTCAAGGAAAACAAATATTTCCTATATGACTGGTTGTATGGAGGTCAAAATGGCAATAAACCAAAACGGCAATAAGTCAAGACAGCAATAAACCAAAACTTTAAGGTGCTAGAAACTCGTATTTACCTCGATTTGATCATGGACCTATTTGATGGTTTTATTTTAAACTGTGTGTATAAAAACATTAACTCAAATAGTACTACAGACCATTCTGATTCAGTATTTATTTTGGTATATCGTCAGTTCAGTTTATTTCACATCATCAAAATATTGTACAAAACAGATATTGGGACAAGGCAGGACAAACAAATAATAAAATATGATGCAAGGATAGCCTTTAAAAAAATAAAACTTATTTCCAATGTGGTCCTACATAAAATCATTTATAAACATTAAAATGTACAACGATTATATGTGGTAAAAATTTAAATATATCAAAAAACTAAACTACAGACAATAATAATAATTAATAAAAATAATAACAATGGGCCTAATAACAATATAACAACATACAAATTCAATAATAAAAGGATTGGGGGAAACACAATATAAAAACAATAATAATAATAATAATAAAAATGATAATAGGCCTAATAACAATATAATCAAAAGGTATGTATACAGTGGTGCCAAGAAACCATGGCAGGTGGGGCAAGTGCCCCAGGTCGGGGCTGCTAGGTAAAAAAGGTTTCTGTACTTTATTGTTCATGACGTGGTGAAATTAAGCACTATCGATTAAATTAGTTCTCTAATATGCGTTAAAAGACTGTAGTTAGTTTCCAATGTTCGTCATGTAGTCCAGCAAACTTTGGTTGGTTGCATTTTTTTTTGCTATATTTTTTAAAAATTGGATATGATGTAGAGTAGACATAGATAAATCAAAAAAGTATGTGCAACATTTTTTTT